AAAATTATTTTTTTCTGGGCAAAAATTTTATGTTTTTTTTTTTTTTTTTTTTTTTTTATCAGTTTCTTTCAGCAGTTTGGGCCTCAAACCAAAACAATCAGCGATGAAAAGATCAAGGAAAAAATATTTTCTACAGCTGATAAAAATCTCCTGAATTGTTTATTATTGTACAGGAAACTTGTAAAATAATTTAAACTTGATTCTTTTTTTCTTTCCATTCTTTTTTTGTTTTGAAAAGGAATGAGGATCAAAAACGTGACTATTGTTCACTTATAAACATTTCATTGCTATAATCACAAATTTAACTTTTGACATAGTTTAATGCATTAAAGTTGTTTTTGTGTTTTCCCCTCATTATTTTGAGGCTTTTAGTGTTTTTATTTTTCTGCAACTTTAATGTATTTTTCTCTTTTTGTTTGACTTTAAGTGAAAACGTTTATTTTGCAGAACTTTTATTTGAAGTTGTATAATGATGTGGTGATGCTAAAACTGTGTGAAATTAAAAAAAATAAAATAAAAACGGTTTGGTAAAATTTTGATGGCAATTGTAATTATTGGCTTTACGTTGGTATTTACTTGCAACCAATTGTTCATAGAAATGGGGAGTCGAATCACGATGAAGAAAAACGTAAATAACTGGGGAATCAGATCGATCTCTGAAACATAGAGACAAAAGCAGACACTACCGATCCAGCAGGGGTCGCTGTTACATCATAACAGTAAATGTAAGCTTTGTGTTTTCGTGTTTATTTACATTATAGACAAACGGAAACACTGCGCTCCCACCTCTTATTTTAAATGGACCGTGTTGTTACATATTACAGTGCATTTTTAAATACATATAAAACTGTAAACAATACATTCATGTGTATTGGTACTAGCTTTTTTGTTTGTACTTTTGGAAATAGTGGATAAATATTGTTTGATTACCTTAACCAAAAATGTCAAAAAGGGTGGAAATTATGAAATTTACATTGGTGAATATGAAACTTGCCAAATATAATAAGAATAATTGCCAGTATTCTGCCTGGATGTGCAATATTTTCCTGAAAACCAGAAATTTGTCATTACCAATTATAAATCCAACATTTTCTTGTGATACATTTCCAGACTAAATCACTTAAAGCTGGGGGCTATTGTTTGTGTTTATTATATTTCATTGTGTATTAATTAGTAGGATAAATTTAGAGTAAGAGTTCAAAGGAGACATCTCTCATTTTGTTGCTTATAAAACGTTTTTTCCAATATAAAAACAGCTGAAGGTGGATTTTTAAGTTAGTTAAAGGTATTTACATATTCCTCCTGACCAACAGAGGTCACTCTTTCCTCTTTATGCCTCGCGTTCACTAAACGGAAGCGTTTTCCACAGATTTCCTAAAAAAATTGTGTTTACATGCTCCCATCCTCTCTCGTGTTTTAGCGGCTTTGGGAGCCTAATCTGCGGCAGAATGAGCGCGATTCAGCTGCTGCGGATGTCGGTGCATCAGCGGATCAGCGCCGCCGCTGAGGACGTCCTACAGCAGCTGGAAAACGGGGAGAAAGCGGTTAAACTCCGGACACAGAGAGCAGTGATAACCGCGCGGCTAACAGCTACCGCGGAGGAAATCTTCGGACTGTTTAAGGAAACTTTAGCGGAGTACGAGGAGAGACTGCGGCAGTCCGATCAGGAGATATGCCTCCAGAGAAAGCAGCTGGATGCTCTGCTGAAACCTGAAGTCAGACTGCAAAGATCGGAGCAAACGGAGGCTTTTAAAGCCGCAGGAGCCGCTGCTGCCAGCGCTTACTCGTCCAGTTCCGGTCAACTTCACAATAAAAGCCCTGCAAATCAGAGTGAAGAGGAAGCTGAAGACACAGGTGCGATGAAGACGCCTGAAATAAAAATTAGCACCAAAAGAATGTTCTCAACTAACACTGGCACTTATTCGACATATTTTCACTCAAGTGAAAGTACAAAATTGCTGTCTAAGAAGTTACTCCAGAATTAAAAAACTTTACTCAAAAAAGCCAGTTGAATACTGAATAATCAACGCATCTGACTTAATAGTTTAAAATATTGTCATCAAACAGCCAAAAATATAAAGTTGTGTGCAAATTCTGGTATTTCACATATTGAAATGAAAAGCAAGTTTACAAATAAATAGGTTTTAAGAAGATTTTTTTTTTCAAATGACCTTTTTTTCAATATAAAACAACTGAA